TGCTCAATGCATTTTCTTTCTGATTTGATTTTTATATTTTGTCCGTTTACCACATCATATGATTTTATAGTGTCGCACAGACAGGATCAGACAGGCTAGTGACACAAATTAGAAAATAATTTCAGCATCTTAACATTGCATGGCTCAGCCCCTGTTCCTGCATTTCTCTTCTTGAATTTTAAACTGGAAACAATTTTTTATTTTTCAGGAGTTGATAGCTGCTCGTCAAGACCATGCAAAAATATAGGTAAGACACATATGTATAATCTGATTTATGGTTTTAAATGCCTTTCGAGATCAGAAAATAGTGCCCTTGAAGAAAAAAAAAATGTCATTTTTTTCCAGCACACTTCAACATATTTTTGTCTGAGGGAGTTTCTCATGCTATCGGTCACTGACTTTATAAAGTCAAACTGTGAGGAAGCAGGAGGTCCTCAGTCAGTTTATTTTCTTTTTCTTCTCCACGAAATTTGTGAAGTAAGAGTTGCATCTAAGAGTTTTCCAGACAGTTTTTGGGAAGGTCAAATGTGATTTTTGGATTGCATGTGGGAGCATGCATACAGTGACATTTGTCCTCTACTCTTTCCATTATGTTAGTGAGAAAGGTGCTATAGCCATCTAAGTAATTAGGTTTAAACTTTATGTTATGCCTCAAACCACTATCTGCTCTAGAAAGGAAAGATAGGTCTCGTGGTTAACGCACTTATGTAAGAATTTTGGGTTCACATCCCATTTTAATTTTTCAGCTATATCATTAGGGTGCAGATTATGAACCATAAACCTGAGATATATATCATCAACTTTTTCCCACCTTGTTTTATCTATGAATAGGACAATCAGTCTGGGGCTGGAATTATATGTCCATATAGTGTTTGGTCCAAGGAGGCCTTTAAATATTATCAAGTAACTCACTGATCCAATGTTAACAGTGACCTCTCCAGCCTTGTAGTGAATAACAGGCCAGGTCTTATCTCATCTCATTTATTTTCTCAGTAATGTCTGACATGACCAGAATGATGTACTGGTATCTCATTGTACAGGTTGCTTTCCACAGCCAGACTATTCTGAGCACCTACGTGCCTTAAGTTTCAATCACATGGTTCACTTGCTTTGTTTAAATGAGTTTCTTAACATTTCAGGGATTCTTCTCATTGCTGTGCGAGTGACTGTACTTGTTGTTTTCATGTCTTCAGATCAGCCTCATGACTCTGACCCCCAGGTGACGGTGGAATTTGTAAATGGAAACTTCAGGTTCACATTCCCCAACCCCAAAAATGTGAGCGAGTTCAGCATGACCCTCTTCAAAGGGCACGAGAAGAAGGAGATCTGTGCACTCCATTTGAATAAGGAGAAAAAGATCCCGGAGAGTAATGTCAGCTACTGTCAGACAGAGCATTCAAATAGCAGCACCACTTTCATTCTTAAAAATCTGGAAAGCAAGCATATTGACATTTATACTTACTGCCTGGAGATGTTCTTACCCCCTCCTTATATAGATTGCCGGCTGAAAGAAACCTATTTGTACATCCAAGGTAAGATTACTTCTCTTCTCCCCTCACTTCACTTTACTGATAAGCAGACATTGGGCATAGCTATGCTGCAGTGAAAAATGCAACTAGAGTTTGCAGAGATATTTCCAAGTCAGCTTAAAACTACTTAGCAGGGAGCTAGTAACAGTGGAAATGTGTTGGCAGACTGCTCAGCATGGCCTTTCCATAATTATTCACCTTCTTGGGCAGGTTTTTGCAGACCATGCTGAGCTCTGCATATCGGTGGTGGTACCCAGGCTAGTAGACTACATCTTCTGGAGTACTGCAGTCCCACCTTTGCCTGCAGCAGAAATTTCCTTTTGTCCATTTTCTAAGCTGCTGAATGTAAATGTTAAGATTATTTCTAGCTGGGGAAAAAGGCCCACTCTGAAAGCTTTCTTCATGTGCCTACGATTAAAAAAAATCAGCTGTCAAATATCTGGGCTAGTAGTGGTATATGGAACTCTGATGCCACATTGATGTGAAGAAGATGGTGTTCGCCTCTCTGAAGCGGGCCTTCAGGTTTAGAGCCTTCCTAGGGCAGAAGAGATCCACAACTGCTGAGAATTTTTTGCCTTTTACTGAGAAGGGCTTGGGCTAACTTCAGAAGACTCACTGCACAGGCTTTAATTTTGAATTGCCTTTCACTCAGTGGCTCTTTGGTATACTAAGCTGAAAGAATTAATAGTGGTTTTGCTCACACCCATTCTTGGTTCACCATATAGTTCAGTTGCAACATGGTACTGCCTTTTGTCCTTCCCTTGCCATTTTTTCCTATCTCTCAATACCAGAACTAAACAAAGATAGAAGCTGAAATGCTAAGGCTACAATTATGTGGTTGGGTCAAATTAGCTCTCAGCCCACTCTGAACTTAAAACAGCTTCTCACAGAATCAAGCTGGGACATCCCTTTTTTGTCTGCAGTGTTTCCCAAAGCTGTTCACTTCCATTTGTATGGATAGCCAGATGCTCATAGCTATTGCCAGATGTTTCATGCCCTATCACATTTTCTCCTAGATCTGGGCAAGGGTAATCCGGTGTCCCTCAGCTTGCTTTCCTATCCAAACATGACTGCTGAAGCCCACCCTTCTTTTGACCCAGCTGCCCTTTAAATCACCTGTGGTATTCACTGAATATAAGCTTAAACCTTGTTCAGATCTGGAATACCATCATGCTCTCAAGCCTAGCTTGGTTTCTTTTCAGTCTACACTTTCAGCCCTGTGTACCAAGTTTCACCTCTCCTTTTGTAAAACTGCAATGTTCTGCTTCCTCCTGAATACACTATTCCAAAGTGGCTTTTAACCTCAGCAAAATCCTTCTCCAGAGCTCACTTTTGCTATTTTATTACTATGAATAGAAGAGGAGAAAATTTGAAAAGTTATCTCTAGGGGGGGAAATGCAAATTATCAGTAACAGCTTTTTTGCCTCCCCATCTCCAGATAAGGAAGACTGCTTTTCACTGGGACTCATGTCATGGATAATTATTGGCCTGATCATGTTTGCCATGATTTGCTGTGTCTTCTGTGTATTAGTCTGTTGCTTAAGGAACAAGGTAAGCAAGTCTATGAGACTATGCAGAACCCTCCTTCCAAGGGTCATGGATGGGGAACTTGATTTAATGAGATTTAGAGGGTGGGACAGGCACATACTCACTCAGCACGTGATATGTTTTTTGACAAAGAGACTGAGTTGTTAATTTACCGCTGGAATTCAGTCATTGATGACAGCACCTCAGATTTAATTTTTCTAAGACAGAATTGCTTATTGATTTAAAGGCTGGGAATCAAAGGAAAGAGCAAAAATGCTGCACAGGTCAGCAAAATTACTTTGGTAAGCAATTCACCTGATTGTTTGTTTTTTTTCAAGAAGGGGAAACAAATCATCAGTGGAGCAATTTCAGCTCTGTTCTGGAGCAAAACCACTTCAACAAAGAATGAGTTGGCTCAGGAAAGAAAGGAGACCATGGACATTAATTATTCTTTTGGACAACGTGTGTTTTTCATTTTCAGTTTGTTTTATTCCAAGTTTTCTACATAAGTGCCTGTCTATTCTGACTTCAATATTCCCACTGAAAACAGTCAGAGTAACTGCCCTACTTAAATAACAAAGGCAGGAGTGGTGGAGATTAGTGACCACAAATTAAATTCATGCCATTTTCTCTCTGTTTGCAGAATCAGCAGTGTGAATCCAGCTCCCATGAGTACAACAGTGAATACATGCCCATGGCAGCAGTGAATGCAGCTAAAAAAACAAGAATCTGAGGTTGTATTAAGCCTAGTTGTACTTGTACCTCTGCTTGTAGCTGTTGCAAGGCTTTCTCTGGGAGGGAAAGGGCTGCTTGCTGTTTCTCCCATTGATTCTAGGTGGGTGGGTGGGCGGGATTGTTACGATAGTTTGTTAATGGAGTTCATGCTGCCATGTAGCAGAAAGAGGAAATGAAAAGCAAAATCTCTGCAAACCTCTTGAATCAAAATGGTGGGCTGATTCCTAGAAATGCAACTGCTTCACATCAGTGCAAAGTAATGATCTTATGCATGAGGAAGAGATGTGAAACTGTTCCACTCAGATTCTTCAGATGATGTGTGGTACCCAAAATCTCTCTGGGGGAGTGGTTTGCTAGGTTTACTTGGTGTTACTGGCTAAGGGCAAACAATCTGTAGAGAATGAGAAATGCCCTACTTAAGCCCTTGCATAGTAGCCAGAAGCAGTTTTGGATACAGAATAGAAGCAGAATTTGCACTGATTCAGACGTGTGGGGGTTGCATGTCACTAATTCTCCATTCCTATTCCAGGTATAAGTTGCTTGTGTCATGGACATTCTGGCAGCAGAGGTTTCCAGCTACTTGAACCTGAACAATGGGAAATCAGCATTTCCTCACCTTTCCCAGCCTCCCTGAGCTCTCATGATGGTCCTGTGCTCAGTCATGAGACACCCATTCCAGTACTGTTCTGAGCTGTGTTTTGCCTTGTGTGTTAACTGGCACACTGCCTGATCCACTGACTTGTACATGAAGCGCTAACAATGTGTTAAAGATGTCAGCTTTAGTTGAAGAAAATGTAGTGAGTTAGCTTGACAGTAGAGTCCTGTAGTGCTGCTACAGAGGAAACTTTTATTTTCTACAGTCTCCTTTATGATAAACTTTTCATCGGGGACAAAAAAAAGGACTACCTCCAATGCCAATCCTTGTGGCACAGCCATGAAGCACTGTCAATGTATTGCACATGCCCTTTTGTTAGGGCTAGTTTAGCCTGATGTTATCACGTCAGCCTCAGATTCACTGTCAAACTTCTTAGCACCACACTAGGAGATTGCAGCATGTACACGTGCTCTCCTGCACCAAGCTGAGGGACAGCAGGGAACAAAATCTCAGAGAGCACAGCAGAGACTTCACTGTGATGCAATACCTCTGGTATGCGTCTCTGCATTTTTCTTATTTGGGCTATCAATACTTTTTTGCCATTCACACCTTGGGGCTCCTCATGTAATTAAATTCTGAATTCTTTTACTAAAAGAGGAATATATTACTTTCAAGACTGCAATTGTTCTTTAAATCAGTTCAAACCTGCAGGATCAGTCCCTAAACTAGGAGGCATAATCTCTCCTATTAACGTCTTGTAGCACAAATACAACACAGTCCATAAGGCCAGTGTATTCGTGGACTCTGCATTGCAATTATCTTCTTGTGGTTTGACATGAAACTTTTACTACTTCCCCAATGGGTTCTGGGGTTACTTGAGCTGCCTCAAATTCCTTAGAGCCTTCAGTATGAATTAAATGATCAATTCTTCATGTTCCTTGTGAAATCCATCAAAACTCTGACCATAAATGACCAACTGGGAATCCAGCCTGGATATGTTGCCAGACGTCATTTGGCTGCTGGAAGCAGAGTGGTGCATTGATTACGAGTCTCTCTGTAATTCATCGAAAAAACAAATATCGGTCAGAGGACACTATTGTGAAAGATACGTAGCCTGCTTGTCTGGCAAACAGAAGGCTGGTTTCAAATTTGATAAGGCAAACAGGGACTGTCAGGCATGAAGAGGACATAAACTAGTATGCCAAGAACAGGATTTTCCTCAACAAACACCTAAACACACAGAAATATTGCAGAGAGGAGGTGCAGATTGTTAACTCTGACATTAAGCAAAGGGGAAATAAGTAAAGCGTCAAACGAACTGGGGACTACTGATTTCACAGCAGGTACCTTGCTTAGATAACCAGCTCATAGGCAGAGATGTATAGGGGCATCCTGGTGTGTTGCTCTCCCGTCATTCTGCCACATTACCTTGCCAAATTACTTGACCTCCCTGGCAAACTAACTCTTCTCTGTACATTCACAAATACACTGATTTCACCATTTAAAAAAATATTGATGAAATTATTGCCTTTGACAGTTATTGCCTTTGACAATTACTGGTGAAAAACAGCTAATCTCTACTGCCTATGAGAAATGCTGGATGCAAGATCCTAGGTAAGAGTGGAGAGTCCTGTCACCTGGAACCTTTGAGCAGACTGAGAAGGAAATTTGAGGAATAAAGAGTTTCTGAAAGAAGGAGAAACTTGAGGTTTGCCTTGAGATGCTGCTGGATAAAGGAGAAATGATGAAAGTCTGAACAAGGTAGTTCAAAATACATACATTCTGCTCTGGAGAGATAAATGATTTATACTTGTAACAAAGCTTTTGGAAGTCTCAGGTTCCATCACTGCTTTCTTTTTGGAAAAATATATTTGTATTCTTAATAAAACTTTTTTTTTATTATGCCACATGTATCAATAGGAAAGTTCATGCATTCATACATGTTGTTTGAGAGAAATAAGCTCTATAAAATCCACAGTGCAATGGGGAGACAGTATGGGACACTTTATCCCTCTATAGCATCTTATTGGGAAACAGGAAAAAGACTAAGGAAAAAAAAATTGAAAAAGTGAAAACCAAAAATTTGGATCTGTTTCTATGCAGTGAGGTAATGACACTGTTTGGATCTGTTTGTTTCCTTTTATTTTCATAAGAAAGTCTTTTCTCATATCGTCCCATCTCTTCTTCCTTTCTTTTAATCCCTTCTGCAGTATACAAATAATGTTCTGGATTATTTTGGGACATTTTTCGGTTTCTTTCTGCCATTCTTCAATATCTCCAAATCAAAAGGAGCTGGAAGAACACAAAGGATGGCAGAACGAGAAAAAAACACCTATGAAAAATGTAATACGAGCTGAGTCTATCCACTGTGGGACAAGAAAGGATTAAAATAAAAAAAAAAGAAGTCAATAAGAATAAACAAAAAGTTTGATATTCTAACAGGTCAGCATTTCCAAAAGTAAAAATTCACTTTGGAAACTCCCAGTTTTGGGAAAAAAAAAAATTAACAGGAAAAAAATCAAATAAGAATACTCTTCTACAAAATCCACGTCCAAGATAAGCAGAAGCATGAGTAACATCCCAATAACACCCAAGAAATCAGAGGTTTGAGGGTAAAATAAATGACTAAGACACGATCTCAATCTGCTCTGTTTGCTACATAATGGTTTAGGATTGTAACAGAAATTTTACAATTGTACAACAGTCCATGAGGGGGGTTCTACAACCTGTTCTTCTCCACCTTTGTCTTCTATTGCTTTATAGGGAATATGACTGAAAAAGTATTTTGGCTTAGGCTTTTCCAGGAGCTGAATCCCTAACATCAGTGTTTGTGTAAAAATAGTTTCTGTCATACAACATGGAACTTAAGATTCAGTATCAGTGAGATGCTTTCATACTTTCTGATTCTTCATCACTGTAAGTCACCGCACATGTATTTACACTCAGTAATGCCCTTTAGATCTTCCCAGTCTGTGCCAGTATGGATTGAATGAAGTCAGTAAGTCAGTAAACCAAATAGGTATGTATGGCAGAGAATTACTCATAATCTCCTTCAAGGTTAAGATCTGAAATAAAAATTTACAACTTGAGCAATTGCTAAACAGATTGTATGATCTACTTGCTAAACAGATAGCATGATCTAATGTGAACAGGTGAAAGATGTTAAGAATGTCAACTACGGCTACTCCAAAATTTAAGGAAGGATAAATGACAAGGATATCATAATTTGAACACCTGCATATCTTAAGATGGTTTGAAATCCAAACCTTGATATGTATTTTGCAAGCTTGTCTTCCCAGCCTGAATTATGAACCCAAATCTGAATGCTCTTGGAGTTTAATGATTAGATTCAAGAATGCAATTTTGCACGTAATATATAGCACTGGGAAAGAAATGTTGTGGGCCATTTTCCCTTAGTACAGGTATTTTGTTAACTTGAAAGTTTGAAATTCTATCACACTTCTTACAGACTTTGACAAAGTTTATTTAAGGCTGGGGAAAAGAGGATCTCAAACTAGCATAAAGAAAACAAATCGAAACAAGGATCTGTACTGAAGATATCGTACACCATTATTCATTCATAAAGCGGTTTACTGTATGAAGAGTCCCTTATGCATGTGAATCTATAAGTTGTCATGCGGAATAACACAGCAATAATAAAAACAGGAAAAATATAGGTCATTGAAAGTATTTAGTTAAAAATAAATCCAGTCGATTAGTGGGGACTTCTGCCCATACAGTTTACTGGGGAGCTGGATCTAAGACTTTGCCTTTGGTTTGACTTTAACTGCAATGAGACACTCCATGTACCCAAGTCCCTTGAGTTGTCCAGTCCATCATTGCTATAGCAGCCTACCCACTGTGATAAAAAATTCCCATTTCCTTGAGAGATGAAATTTTGAGATTTGTATTTATGTTCTACGATTATGAGTTCAATTCAGTCTGGGGGCTTGGCTGGAGAAGAGGGAGGAATAGGAAGGATAGAACAGCTTGTCTGGCAAAATGAACTGGACAGGTATGAACTGGAGATATGAAGAAGAGGTCAGGGGGTGAACTTCATCTAAATGAGTATGCCTGAGCTATTTAATTTCTCCTGGGAGTCATAAGATCTTGTACGGCTTGAGATCAATTTTTAAAAAGAGATAAATCAGCTCTGATCATCAACAAGAAAGATTTAGCTGCTGCACACATCAAGCATAATCATTTTTAAAAACTGCAAACATTAACAACTTTGAAATACCAAACATCTTCCACATATTAAATCCTGCATCAGTCCTCCCATTTTTTAGTATACTGTTGGCAAATCCATCACCAATGATCTTTCATCCTCCCTCCCAATGCATTGCAGGAGCAAGTTTCGTTGCAGCTTATATAGTTTGTTGCCATTTCTCAGAATTGAGGCCAGGA